TTTTTTTTTTTTTTTTTTTTTTTGCAGAAACTACACTGGGGCCTTCTTTGGGTGAATAACTATCGTGGTCCAGAACGAAGTGGCTTTGAACTAACAATTTCCTCTTCCTCAAATGTGCCCTTTTCAAGGGGGCCAATGAGCCTCAGTGGCTGAGAAGAGACCACAAACCCACCACCCGGTGACCCTACAGCGGACGCCAAGCAAACCTCGGTTGCCTCTCCCAGACCCCGCCCACGGAGCCACTTCCGGAGGCACCCGGAAGCCCCCGTCGCTTAGCAACCAAAGGCGACCGAAGGAAACAGCAAGGTGGTAGGGCTGAGACCTGGAGAGGGTTGCGACCTGGGGCGTGTAAGGGACCCGCAGTCCCACACTGGCCCTATCATGTTGTTGCTGGGTGTCTCCCGTGCTCAGCAGGAGCTGCCAGTGGGCCAGCAGCACTTTCCAATACTTCTGTCAACCAGTCCAACTTTCTTAACCAGGAAGACTGCTACCATTTTTTGAGCACCTATGTGTCAGGTTTTATCAGGCACGGCAGGTAATTAACCCTGAGAATTATACACCCTTTCTCACTGATAAGAAAGCCAGGCTCAAAGGGGTTGAGGTCCCCAACCCCGAGGGACTCGTTTCAGGGGGCAAGGCAGGTATCCCACCTACCAGTTCCCCACTCCAGAGGCTGGAGAAGGAGCGACAGCAACTTGAACCTTTACCCACCATGCTTTATTTTCCATGACGTCTATGAACTAATGTTTATACAAGTCCCTGAGGGGCCAGAGATGCCACCATACAAAATGACAAACAGACCCAAGGCCTGAAGGGCAGTGAACGCATTAAAAGTGGATGGGGTGCATCAGACTCCCACAGCTGGGGCTCAGCTGAGTTGGCAGGAGACCTTCAGAGTGAGAAAAGACGAGTGGTTTTTGGCTACCAGGCTGAGCAAACCAGGGGGAAGCTCCGGAGGCACGGAAAGGCTGGCGTCTGCCACCTGAGGGCTCCAAGCACGGCTCAGAGGGTCAGCCCCCGCTCCTTGAATAGCTGCGTTAGCGCCTCTTCCAGCTGCTGGTTTGTTCCCTGAAGCCCCTTCACCACCTGCGCAGCCCACTCGAAGTATTCCTGGACTCGATGTTCTGACCATCCTGCATGTGAATGGACAGAAAACTGCTCATTGGATGTCCAGGACAGCGCTGGATTTTGCCTACTTTCTGGGCGGCTTGGAGCAGGGCCATGAGATGACTTCTCGATGGTATGATTTGTCCTGAAAGCTTCCCTTTGACCCAGCTGTAGCATTTCTGCCCTATGAAAGCAGATCAGAGTGGTCTAATAGGATTAGTTTGGGGAATTAACCAGAATGTCCTGGCTTTTTTTTTTTTTTTTTTTTTTCAGGAGAGTGGACCAACCTGTGCCTCCAAAAGGTGGACCCTTCCCTTTCCTTCAGAGCTGATGGGGAGCCTACCCTCTGGGGTGCAGCGCTTCAGGTCCCTCAGGTTGTACAGCTTGTCTGCCAGCTTCACCAGTTTAGCCCCTGGGCTGCTGTGCGGCGCCTGCTCCACCTGCAGTCGCTTTCTCTCCAGCTTCGGCAAAGTCTTGTCATCTGTCACCTCCTCCACCAGACCCCGCACTTGGGCCCCAAAGTGCAGCTCCACCTCATCCAGGGTGGTGTCCGTGTCTTCCACGGTGTCGTGGAGCAGGGCTGCCTGGAATGAGGCGTCCAATCAGCGCCGTGACGCCAGCCAAAGGCTGCCCGAAGCTGAACAGGCCCCTGACCCCCAGCCCAGCCTCCTGGCGGCGGAGGAGGAGTTACCTGTAACACCACGATGTCGGTGATCCCCGCCTCATGCGTCAGGATCCGAGCCACACCTGACGGGGCAAAGCAGGAAGTCAGACCGGAGGAGGACCCAGGGCGGCGTGTTGTGGATTTTGTAGAGCCGGTTGTAGCCCTTCACTAGCTGGGTGACCTTGGGCAAGTCTTTTACTCTCTTTGGGTGTCGACTATACACAGGGGACAGTTATGCCCGCCGCCCCGGGGTCGTTGTGAGGCTTAAACACCAACAGTGCCTAGCACAGGCTTGTTAGAGAGTAGGTGCTCAATGAGGTGCACGCCCTCCAAGCTCCCTTCCCGGTCCCATCCCCTAGACGCCGCTGCAGTTGCGCGCACCGATGGGGTGGTTTATGTAGGGGGTCCCTTCGGGGTCCTTCCGCCGCTGCCGTCGGTGCTTGCGAGCCGCGAAGTCAGCAGCCTCTAGCAGCTGCGCCGCCTCGGAGCCCATCGTGAAGGTGGGACGGGGGACTGCAGTGCCGACAGCCCAGTGAGCCCCAGAAGCCCAGCTGGAGCAGCCACAGCGCCCCCTGGTGCTGCGGAGGCCTAGGGGTTTGTGGAGTCTGGTACAAATGGGTTCCTCTTGGGGCTGCCACCCCAGAGGGAACTGCCCTCAACATCTCAGCCCCTGGTTCAGTGCTCTCTGCTGGGGGCGCTGGAAGAATATGGCTTGGCTCTCTGAGTGCCCACAGTCTAGGAGAAGGAGGAAGACAGAAATAAGACAGAGGCCTCACAGTGTGCTGGGTAAACGGTAGGGAAGCCCAGGAGATTTTAAGGAAGAGGCAGGGCAATTCACCTAGCCTCAAGGTCAGAGCCAGCTTCTCCCAGGAGGTACTTCTGCCCCCATGAAAAGACAATCTTCAACCTGTCAGTGCTCTGAAAATTCTCAGGTACTCAAAAGAATTTTCCCTTCAGGATGGGCCTAGTTGCTATGGGCAGGGGAGCCGCCTCACTTTTGGGCCCAGAAGACCCCAGGGCCTGACCTTCTGAAAATTTAAGCTGCTTGGAGTCCCACTGAATTGCTTCAGACTTAGGCTTCCAGGCAGCCTCATGTTTCTGCAGGAAGTGTCGTCTTTGTTCTCAGTTTCTGGGACAAAATTTGTATTTCTTTCTTGTTCCATGAAGGTTCCTACTTCAGCCCCTGGCACCTGCTATGGGCCTTGGGGTGATGTGTGTTGTCACTGCTCTTCTGGGAGCATGACAGTGTTGGACCTCAGGCAGGCACTAGAACAACACTCAACACTGCTTCCAGCCTTCTGGAGAAATTCCTTGTCTTAGGGGACAGCAGCTATGAAATATGAGGAGTAAAAGGACCTGGAGACCCCGAAAGAGCTTTCCCTGTGACATGAGTTCAGTTAGTAGCTAAGTAAACTACAATCAGACAGGTAGTTTTGGCGCTTTGGCTGGTGGGTAGGGCAGATGAGGGCTCAGGGGGAAAGTTAATGAAAGGACTCGCCCTTGGTTTTCAGCTAGTCCTGGTGGTTGCCACGACGCAGAGGTTAGGGAGGGATGCTCCAAACACTGGAGCTGAGGCCTCTGGGGCCTGAAATGGAACAATCGGAATTCCCAGGGCTTCCACGGCAGCCCGTCTGGCTCTGGATGCTTGTCTGTTCTTCAGGCTAATGGCTCAGCTTCTCTCTCCCCTTTCCTTCTGTCCTCTGGTCTGCTGAGCCTTTCCCCTTCAGCTCAGAAAACCTTAGGCAGCTTGGAGCCACAGTCCCCACATTTTCCAGCAGAAGATAGAAACTCAGTCACTTCATTTCTCTCTAGAGGTCTGTGACAGAGAAGCTTAAGGTTTGTGTTACTGGTGCCTTGGGGATTGATTGTTTTTCCTTACTGTTTGCAGCGATGGCTCAGAAAAAGAGATGTTGGGGTTCCTAAGGCAGAGGTGGTGACCTCTCATGGGCTTCCCGAGGAGGCTGCCATTGAGGCTACTGCTGCTTTTCGGCTGGATGACCCTTGCCCAGCCAGCCTCTCTCTCAGGTACAGCACTCTCCTCCCCGAACCCCCTTCAGGTCCCCTCCTCTCTCATAAGGACATGGGCTCCTCTGGGACGCTGGTGGGGAGGAAGGGAGCCTGCCCCTGATAACCGCTGATCCGTTTTACTCTGTCGAAGGGGTGCAGTGGGTTGTGGGCAGCCCATTCCTGCCTGTCTCCAGCCCCCTCGCCCTTCCATTTAGCATTGGCCCAGTACCCTCACTTGTGCCAGACCACTCGAGATGCCGATGGCCGCCACTACCCTGGTTTCTTCTGTCCTCGGCTCACGGATGCTCCGGAGGAAGCCTACTGCTGCCACCTGCAGGCTGCAGGGGGCTCCTGCTGCACCCGGGACGAATTCGAGGGCCTACACCAGGTCAACCTGTCCGCCCTCCCGCCTCCGCCCATCCTCAGGTGAGAAGTCCAGCTTCAGAGCCAGAGGAACACTGCCCGGGAGTTCAGGACCTGGGGCTCTGTTCTTAAATTCGGGGTGGAGGCTCGTAGCTTACAGACTAGTGGAGAGACAGACCTCAAACAAAATCACGTAAATATATAACTAGAAACAATTCTGGGGAGGAAAACTGCAGGGGGATGTGAAAGCTTCAGGGTACCTGGGAGCTCCCTGACTTCTGCTTTTATTCAGGAAGGGGATCCGAGCTTTCTCAGAACTCTCAGGGGCTCTGTAACCTAGCGGGCCAGCATCCTGATATCGTCCCCTCTCCCACAGGGGCCCGGGCCCGCTCCTAGCGCTGAGCCTCTATGGCCTGCTGCTTGCGGTCCTGGTGACTGCAGACCTCGTGCACTTCTGCCGCAGTCGGAGACGGGGCGGAGGCTGGGGCCGCCGCGGACCTTCCTTTAGGTCCTCGGCCGCACGCCCTCTGCAGGTCTCCGTGGGAATAGACTAGGCGCGCCCAGGCCTTTTCTGCGCCTGCGACCAGGCCGAACGCCCCGCCCCGCCCCTCCACGGGGCGCGCACGCCTTAGCCCCGCCCGCTCCCGGCCAGCGCCTCTGACGCACGGCTGGGGAGGGGCAGCATTCCCCAGCCCGGACCCACCCCACCCCAGAGACTCTGCCTGCTCTGACCTGGACCTCCTTTCCGCGATGACTGTGAGTGATCCAGGGACCCCCGAACCCCGGCCCGCCACTCCTGGGGTGCGTGCCTATTGCCCCGCGCCATTACCATTTCGCACATGTTCTGACCATTCCCTTGCCTCTTTCCCGTAGTCTTGGCCCTCCATCGGGCTCGTCTCCAATCCCCAGCCACACGCAGCCCCCTCGCCCCGCTCAGCTCCCCGGCTCTGCCCTTACCCCACCTCCGAGGGAGGTTCTTACCCCTTCCCTCCACAGGCCAGCTCAGTGGAGCAGCTGCGGAAGGATGGGAACGAGCTATTCAAATGTGGGGACTACGAGGGCGCCCTGACGGCCTACACCCAGGCCCTGGATCTGGGAGTGACGCCCCAGGACCAGGCTATTCTGCACCGGAACCGGTCCGCCTGCTACCTGAAGCTGGTGAGGGAACTGGCTGCTCTTCCCCTGGCCTGCCGGGGTCCTGGTTTCCCCACCTCGCTTCTGCTTGGGCCCTGGCCGGACATTCACTTTCCAAGGCCGCCTTCCCCTGTCGGGTGTCATTTTGGCCTCCGGGTGATGGGGGACCAGGTGACCGTGGAGAACAACCCTGCTGTCCAGTTAGTGCCCGGAAAAGATGAACACTCTCTCAGGCTCCTGTTTTCTTCTCTTACAGGAAGATTACGACAAAGCAGAGATCGAGGCATCCAAAGGTAAGGAATGTGCCCTGTGTGGAGCCGTGGGGCTTCTGCGGTGGGCAGAGATTCTGGGACCACCGCACCCTCACATTCTCCTCCTTTTGCCCCAGAAACACATCTGCCTCCTTTCCTACTTCCTCGGGCATTTCCTTTTCTGCAGTTACTCTCACCTTTTTTCTGAGGCCGAAGTACTGATCCCCACATCTGTCCCCCAACCTTTCTCTGGC